GCTTCAACAATGGTTACTATGCGTCACCTGGGTTGCATGCGGGAGTTTTCTTTCTGTTAAGATGAGTTCGGCGGGCTGCGCATCGGGCGATGAGGCTTTTATGAACTTGGGAATGCTATCCCTAGGATGGGATCATACGGGCTGGTCAATGGATGGCTAGCTCCGGACAAGTACTAGAGCGAGGCACTGCGCATTTGCAGCGGAACGAATGTCCAATGGACAATGACTATCCTGCTATTCGCCTACCTCTCAGCATATTTTCTATAACGGAGATTCCTTTCACATCTTACATTTTCTCGGTCTTGTGAGATGTGATGAATTTTATGAAATTTTGTAGGTCCTTTGTAGAATTCGCAACATCCAGACTTTCGCCAGTGCATGGAAACCTTCATTTGGGACATCAGGATGATTGATCGGGATCTGTACGGATCACCATTTGCCTTCACCTGGAGGTAAGCATAGGGCCTTTAGGTAACATGGCCTACCTTTACTGACAGTCTCACCTTGCTAGCTTCAGTATACGAGATGGATTTGCGTGATGGATCTGTATATAGAGCCTTCATCTTGTGGTCTACATCTGTCCTCTTAACAGACCCAGTTCTTTGATCGAAGAGGTAGTCAGGTGCAAACCAACAGTTAACAACATCACGGTAAAAGCAGCAATATCAACAACCTAGACATGGATTGCACATTCATGTCGGCAGATCGCATGGCCCTACTCAAGTTGACCGATGAGGAAGCGCAGCAATACCTCGTTCGGGATGATTCACCGTTCAATGATTTGGCAATGGACGTTGACGTCGAGAGTGCATGGACCGAGCGCCAAGATACGCCTGGAACGGGAGCAAATGCCGCTAACCCTTTCGATGCGCAAGCTCCAGTGCGACTTCCGCGCCAACTCGACGATTCACTATCGCGAACCATCCGCCAACATCGCACCCGAACCACCCCATTCCGCGACCGTGTGTATAATCATCGACACGGCGACTTCTATCCCCCACGGCAGCCCGTATACTACGATCACGACGACCTCGGCGCCAACTCTACACGAATCCCGTCGCAACTGAGGGAAGATTCTCCGGAGACGTTAGAAGAGAAGGCACGCGCAGTCTTGGTCGCAACCATGGCAGATGCAGACGTCAGAGAAGAGCGCGATGATAGGCGCGAGGACCGACGTGATGACAGGCGCGATCGTGGAAACTATCGAGGAAACAACAAGCGCCGCCGTGATGGTGAGTCTGCACTTGTCCTGCTACAAACGATTGCGCAAGCTGCATGGGTGGGCTGGATAGCTTCTCTGATTCGATGGCTGTAATGGGCATCAAATCGAGGCCGAGACTATCCTCCCTACCCCATGGACTGGCTTGTGTATCTGGCATTTCTACTGTACTAACAGCGTCGCGCAGATGACGATAACCATTACCGCGGTGATGACCGTCGCGGACCCCAGCGCCGCCGCAACGATGACGGAGGCCCACGTCGCCGATACGAAGAGCCGCCGTTCCCCAAGCTGCGCAGACTGCTCTTGAACATTGCCAGCTCCACCAAGCTCCCACAGGACGAGGCTATCGAGATCGCAAAGTACTTTGGAGAGCACTTTGACGATGAGCGTCTCCGCTCTGACTTCTTCGATGTCTTGGTACAGCTGTAAGCAGAGACAGATCCCCCATCAATGAACCTTTCACTAATTGTCTTAGAATCATCGAGCAACCCTTCAAGATCCCATTCGTCGCAGCTGTCGCTTACTACGCCAACGATGTCAAGCCACAAATCACCATCGAGGCCATGAAGCGCGTCGGAGACCGGGCACAGGAGGCGCTGAATGCGGGCGAATGGAAAGAGTTCAAGTTGCTTCTGAGGTTCTTCGCGTGCCTGCAGTCGCTCTACGAGGATGATGGTGTCTTCACTTTCCTTGGACAACTCTTCGACACAGTCGTTGACCTTCAGAGTGCCAACGAGAACGATGTAAGATCTTCGGATGATGATGTGGGAACTCTACTAACAGTGATAGGTTGTCGGTATCGAACTCGTCAAGATCATCCTACTTACGATTCCCTACGCCATCGTCGCTGGAGGAGAGCGTTTCCACGAACAAGCGCAACAACTGCTGAAGAACACCGGCATCGTGGCGAGCAATGCGGTTCCCATCGAGAGCCTCATCCACTCCTACGTCGGCGATTTCGAGTCGAAGCCGGTAGACCACCACAGCGTCATTGGCCTTCTTCAAACACAGTTGTCAGCTGAAGCCGAGTCTGGTTTCGAGCTGAGATGCCTTCCACGCATCGACCTCGAGGCTTTGCGTAGGGCGGATGCCAAAGAAGAAGACGCCCTGCCCACGGCTCCTCAGACTCACGCCTTCCCGACTTTCACCATCCCGTCACCAGTCAACCCTGGCCCACGGCCTGTCTTCCCGGAGGCGTACTTCTCCCTGTTCGCTGATCAGGAAGTCGACACCGTCCCCAAGACCAGCGACATTGCCTCGTCGCTTGTTCGGGATGCCATTGTTGACACCATCAACCAGCTCGACTTTAACCGTGAAATGGTGGCCAAGTTCCTTGTGGATGTTGACTGCTACTGGTCCGTCGACATCTTCGCTAAGCGCGGCTCACCTTTCGACAAGTTCCGTGAGCTGGTTGGCGACAAGATTCAGTACAAGTCAGAAGATATGATCATCGATGCCATCTTCTCGCAACTGTTCAAGCTGCCTAGCGCCGAGCACAAGCTCGTTTACTACCATGCGCTCATTACACAATGCTGCAAGGTCGCACCTGCTGCTATTGCTCCGTCTCTTGGACGTGCCATCCGTACCATTTACAAGAACCTGCCCATGATGGATCTTGAGCTAGGCTACCGATTCCTCGACTGGTTCTCCCACCATCTCAGCAACTTCGAGTTCCGATGGAGATGGACTGAGTGGTATGTTAATCCCTCTTTTCTTTGGAACTACACTAACCCAACTTTAGGCTTGAGGATCTCGAGCTGTCTAACCTGCACCCGAAGAAGGCTTTCATTCTTGCGACTTTGGACAAGGAGATAAGGTTATCCTTTGCCAAGCGCATCCGATCAACGCTGCCAGAGCCGATGCACACCATGATTCCTGAGCGTCTAGATGCAGACAACAGCCCTGACTTCAAATACGATAACCAACGTATGTATACTCCGTATGTAACAGGCATCCCGCTAACAATACCACAGAAACCCCCTATGCTGCTGAAGGTCAGATGCTTCTGAGTCAACTCAGGAAGAAGGCTACCGCCGAAGAGATCCAAGTCACTATCGACAGCATTCACGAGAAGGCTCTTGAACAGGGCATTACCGAAGTCCTCGTGCCTTCGACCGACGCCTTCGTCACCGCCATCTGCCGACTGGGAGCGAAATCATTGTCCCACGTTCTGTCTTGCATTGAACGCGGCAAGGACAGGCTACTGGAGCTCTCGCAGAACGAGGTCGCACGTCGCCAGATCGTTGCAAGCGTCGTCGAGTACTGGAAAGACCAGCCTGGTGTTGCGGTCCGCATCATCGATATTCTGCTCAACTATACTATTCTTGCGCCGATGACTGTCGTTCAGTGGGTATTCGGTAGCCACATGGGAGCTGGCGAGGCTCTGACCGAGAGCTGGGTCTTTGAGATGGTTAGCAACACAGTCGCCAAGGTTACCAACCGCAACCGTCAGATCGCGTCAGCCCGTCTCCAGAAGGGTCTTCCCCAAGAGCAGATCGAGATGGTTGAGGCCACCCTTGCCAAGGACCGCGACAACGCCCGCGAGTTGTTCAAGTACATCGAAGACTCCATGCGTGGTGTCGCAGAGGGTTCCGCTGACACTCTGATTGAGAAGTCCTCCAATGGCTCGCTCACTGAAGAAGAAGTCGAGCTAATCAAGGCCTGGGGCAAGCGCTGGCAGACTGTCTTCATCCGCAAGGCGCAGGTCGAAGAGTCTGTCGTCGGCGAAGAGGCGGTCGAAGCTCGTATCAGACTTCTTGCTGCTGAGCCTGACGAGGTCGCTGAGAGCATGGAGCAGGATGCCGATGGTGTTGCCGAAGCCACCAACGGGGAGGCGCAGATGTCTCTTGCTTGAAACATACCAGACTGAAGGACACGATATCGGATTCTAAAAAAGCATAAGGATAGCGTTTGCATTCATCAATGGCGTATCAGGCCAAGTGCTAATGGGTTATCGACTTGCACGTCGGCTGGCGAGATGGCATCTACACGAAGGTTCTTTATTCCAGATGGACATCTAGTTCGCGTGATATTGTACAGTATATCTCAAAATGAGTATTTTCATGAAAATTCCATGAAACTTTTGTGTTGCGGTTTTGAGATCGTTCTATGACGAGTGTTGGTGATTACAGTTTGACCAGTGTAGGGAGCAGAGGCGCTTTTTGCTTATCGCGCTGCAGAACTGCGAGAAGAAGTGTTGTCGCATGCTATCCCTGGGTGCGAGGGGTTGGACAGCTGCGACAAGCACGAGCGTGCAGACATGAAGCACCTCTACTTCCAAGTATGTTGATGAGATTCATCCCCATGATATTCGTGCGTCGTCCGGTGTCGACGGATCCACCATGCACGGTGACGGCTAGCGTGGGCCAGCATCAGTGAACCCTGCAAAATGTCGCGCGGCATACGGCACCAGCTCCAAGCCGACCACCCAAGCAAGCAAGCCCAACTTTGCAGCCACGGGCCGCCGCGACTTTGTAGCACCGCCGAAACTTCTGGGCAAAAACAACATGTTGTCACCGCCCTGTATCCTTGGTCGCATATAATTATCGTTGCTCCATTTCTTGTGCCTTCGTTGTACTGCCTTCGTTGGACACGCCTTCGTTGTACATAGCTTCTTTGTCGCAATCTACGATACGAAACGAATAGAACCGAGGGAACGGAGAAGAAGCACCATCGGTCCCCACGAGCGACGACGGACACCGATACGTGACGACGCGCGGACGAAGCTATTGCTTAGACGACGAGCTCCCTCGAGAATTCCTATCCCACGGCGATAACGATGCATATACCACCCAGCCACCCCGTCGCTGCAGGCCCAGCGACAGCACTACAAAGCTTAATACCCACATCCACACCCACACCCTACACCGCGCTATCATGGATATCGAAAGACGCCCACGGAGGCGGAGGAGGCGGCGGCGGATACACAGAGAACTGGAGCAGTCTAATCGGCATCATCACCGCCATAATAGGCAACGTGCTCATCTCGTTCGCACTAAACATGCAGCGATACGCGCACATACGCCTAGACCGCGAATTCCACGAGAAAGAACGACAGAGGAAGAGGCGGAAGGCGGGCATGGACGATGCGGGGAGATTGGCGGAGGAGGTGCAGAAGATGGGGTTGAGGAGCAGGAGGAGCGAGGGCATGGTTGAGCAGAGGAGACGGAGGAGTAATGGGCAGGAAGACGATATGTTTGAGGCGTCCGAGAGCGATCCGTTGATACCCCGGGATACGAGACCGGCGGTGGGAAGAGAAGACAGCAACGAATCGGCCAAGCAGGAGGTCTTCAAGCAGACGTCGTATCTCAAATCGCCGTATTGGTGGTTCGGCATCATTCTCATGACAATCGGCGAAGCGGGGAATTTCCTCGCGTACGGGTTCGCGCCTGCGTCTATCGTTTCCCCGCTGGGCGTTGTTGCGCTCATCTCGAATTGCATCATCGCCCCGTTTATGCTCAAGGAGCCTTTCCGCAAGAGAGACGCGTTGGGTGTTGTTATTGCTGTTGGGGGCGCGGTTACGGTGGTGCTTTCGGCTAATGACAATAATCCCAAGTTGGGTCCTGGAGAGATCTGGGATTTGATTAGGAGATGGGAGTTTGAGACGTATTTGGGAATTACGGTGGGGGTTATTGCGTGCTTGATGGTTGCGAGTAATCGGTATGGGGAGAAGAATATCTTGATTGATTTGGGACTTGTGGGGCTGTTTGGTATGTATACGGACATGGCATGGGGATGTTCTTGGGATTGAAAACTAACGGTTTCTAGGTGGATACACAGCGTTGTCTACCAAAGGCGTTGCTTCGCTGCTTTCATATACGCTTTGGCGCGCCATCACCTTCCCCGTCTTCTACCTACTGGTCGCCATTCTTGTCGGCACAGCGGTAATGCAGATCAAATACGTCAACCGAGCTCTCCAGCGCTTCGACGCGACGCAGGTCATCCCCGTCCAATTCGTCCTCTTCACTCTTGCCGTCATCGGCGGCTCAGCAGTCCTCTACCGCGACTTCGAACGAACCTCAGGAGAAGACGCCGGGAAATTCGTCGGCGGATGCGCCCTAACCTTCTTCGGCGTCTGGCTCATCACCAGCGGCCGCCCATCAAACCATGACGACTCCGACTCCGACCACGACCCAGAACCCGAAGACGCCATCCACCTCGCCGGCGAAACCTACACAGACGCCATCAACGAGCCCAGCGAAGAGGTCGCTGGAAGTACACGCCGTTCCTCAACAACACGCGCCCTCTCCCCACCCGTCTCCGTCCAACGCCGCTACCAAGACGACACCTCAGAAGACACACGCCCCTCAACCCCAAACATTACCTTCACCCCCACCGACCCCTCCACCCCACCAAACCCCACCCGCCCAGCCACCGCCGACATAATCTCCTCCCTCGTCGCAAACCCCTGGTCCCACCCCAACGAACCCACCTACCGCAGCACCCCACCCCTAAACCGGCACACCTCCACCCCCGTCCTCCCCTCTGAAGCCGCACCCGCCCCCTTAGTCTCAGTCTCCGACACCGATCTCCCACCGCCTAGCACGCCTACGCGCGGTAAATCGTCGAATGAAGTCCCCACGACGCCGGGGTCGGGTATGGGACTACGGAGACTGAGAACGAGTGATAGGGTTCAAAGTGCGAGGAATAGTATTGCGGGGGGTCCTTTGTTGGCGAGTCCGCTGAGTACGAGTTTGAGTACTATGGTTCAGGATTTGAAGAGGGGGGGTAGTGTTAGGAGGAGGGAGAGTTTGCTTGCGTTGGCTGCGAGGGAGAGGGATAGAGATGGATTCGGACAAGGGGAAGATGGTATGATGGGTGCGGGATTGGTGGTTGGTGAGCCGTTGAGTAGAAGACGGACGAGGGATAGTGCGAATGCCGAGGATGGTGCTGGTAATGCTGGGCAGAGGACGCCGGGTGGTGGGAGGAGAGTGGGTAGAGGAAGGAGTTTGAGTGCGCTTAGTACGTTGAGTGGGCTTTGGAGGGGGATTAGGGGACAGGGGAGTAGGGAGGATATGAGGGCTGAGGAGGGGAGGAGGGATGGTGAGGGGGATGGGGGGAGAGAGAGGTGATGATGGGAGGGAGTGCTACTAGTAGTGATAATGGATAACGTTTTGACGTCAGTATGAATATCTTCGTGCCATCTTTCCTGGTGAACAAGGTCTGAGAGGTTGAGCTGAACGAGCTGATGAGCTGAAGACTTTATTAGTGGTGTTAGTGGTGTTGGTGGTGGTATACGGATGGATATCGAATGGGCAACCTTGGACGACAGACGACACTGAAGCATGCACTGCGATCTCTAGCGCGAATAGGAAGTCGAGTAGACATGAAATGTGTAGGAAGAAGACAAAGGCATAATTTGTCGACGCAAAGCATACATGTGCACTGCAATCCTTAGCTTGGACGAGAGCGTATGTGACTAGGATGTATGCACGGGAGGATATGAGTCCACTCCACGGCTAGCAGTAGCGACGAGCTGCTGCAAGCCAAAGTTGCACTGCAATCTTTAGCGCGAACGAGCTGATGTATGCTTATCATTGGCTATGCGCATGAGGACATGTAGGTATGTGACCAGTAGTAAGAGTCCTCCTGAAGTCTGTTCACCGGAAAACCCCATCGCCAAGATGCTCACCAACGAGCGCTTTGCACTGCAATCTTTAGCGCCGAAGAGCAGTTTACACAAGGCTGATCTTGTGTGTGGTTGGATACTGCGCTTTCGGTGTCAGGCTGAGCTGACAACTGCACTGCAATTCCTAGCGCGGACGAACCGTCTTAAGCACTCCACACTACGCTTTTTGGGTGTGGAACAGCAGGGGTACGACCAATCGCGGATGTCCTATAAGTGGAGGAGGCTGAAAAATGTTGGTGGAGCTAACCTCTTCCTACTGACCGGGCACTGCAATCTCTAGCGTAGGAGAGCAGCTCGACGCACGCCAGCGTATTAGGGAGCATAGGCTACTATCCACATGCTAAGGAGCAGCTCAATTCAAGTTCTAATGTTGCGGCGAAGCATTGCACTCCAATTCCTAGCATGGAAGACTACCTAGATAGATAAAAGGGCATGGCTGAAAGTGAACAGAACTATATCACTCGATAAGAAGGAAGAATCAGGTACGAAGACACGCCATCCATGATGAATCCAGTCGTGTGTATGTCAAGTTATTCCTAGGGACGGTCTGAGGTGTGCACCATGATCTTGAGCGCAGCGGAAAGTAGATCGAACGATACGTGTGAGGTTGAATCTCAGTCTTGTGGGAGAAGAGGAAGAGAGGAGTACAGAAAAGAGTTTGCGGCCCAACGAGCCTGTGCGTGCACCGCAGCCCAAAGCCTGCACTGCAATTCTTAGCGCGGAAGAACAGATGATGGGCGAGGCTGAAAGGATAAGGCTGAAGGTTCAGCAGCCGTATTGCAGTGTAAATAACCTCTTGCTGGCAAGCTCAGACCAAATGTTGTAGCGTCGTGAGATTTGCTATGATCGATGGTTCCCTGCTTAGTCGTCCAATTGGGACGGCAATTTGGCAACGGTAGAATACGAACTGCATAAAGAACTAGTGCGTTGAGTGTGCCTACTACAAATCTCGTTGTTCCGAAGAGTGCAGTGCATGGCTTGTGGGTGATAGATGAAGAAGAGGCTTAGAAGGGTGAATGCCCTGTAATGTTTGATGTTAAAGGGTAAGCGGTCTTGAAGTAAAGCGGCATCTCGAGGGGCACTGTACAAAGATGCCCCTGGACGCAGGGGGTGTAAGGCCATTGCACTGCAATCTTTAGCGTGGACGAGCAGAGTTATGTGGCTGTGTGCATGCGAGCCTCGCGCCTGTATATACTAGGAAAGATAAAACCGAAGAGCCGAGGGTGCACTGCAATTCCGAGCGCCAACGGGCTGTAAGATGACAAAGCCGGTATGATGAGGCTGAAGATGTAGACAAAAAGTGATCGGCCAAGCCAGCTCTACTATCCAGGTATAACATCGACGCACACTTGTTCGGCTCCCGCTATACCTCTAATTTATATACATTTAGAGGAGAATGCGTTGATATGTTTATCCTGGTTGTAGAAGCGCTTTATCGGCAGCGTCCTTGGAAGTTTGTTACGATGTTCGACACTTTGTACTATCCGTATGGAGATGCTCATCCCAGTGGCTGGTCAGCAACGAGAAATGTCGGCAGGTTTTATGTGATCCTTCGCTTGGACAGTTTTGGCCCCATCCTTTTTGCACTGCAATTTTTAGCACGAAGAACAGTTGAACGAAACGTGCGAGGCTGGATCTCAGCCTTGTGAGGGAACTAGACGAGATAAGTAGGAGTAAGGGTGCGCAGTCCAGAACTCGCAACTAGGGACGCAGGCTGCTGATGATGCATATGCTATTGGCTGTGTTGTCGTCTAGATCCCGGCGTGAAGAAACATCCTACCCACTGTACTGCAACTCTTAGCGTAGGAGAGGGAGTAACCGACTGGACAGAGTGTCTGGACCATGCTCGGGTACATCCACCGCTATGACTGCACTGCAATCTCTAGCGTAGAAGCGCAGGTAGAAGTAAGGCTGAAGACGAGCCTTGCGCGATGGGACGGAAGATGTGCGTATGAGGAAGGGTGCGCAGCCTATGCTGGACTCAAGTCTACATCGTATCCGGTCATGCACTTTGCGGAGTGCACTGCAATTTCTAGCTTAGAAGACGAGGTAAGCGAAAGGGAGACCTGCATGGAGGACGATGGGTGCTGAGCGGCAGATGTGGGTGGGTGCATTGCAATCTCTAGCGCAGATGAGCAGCCAGAACGACGAGGCTGGCCCTCAGCCTTGTCATGCAACAACAGACAGCAAGGCAGATGGGCGCACGAAAGCGGCTGCTTGCAGAGTCTGGATTGGGGCCAAGATCTCAAGGCCTAGATAGGCAGTGCATTGGTAGATGCTGCACTGCAATCTCTAGTGCGGACGACCTGGTGTTGGGTTGGAAATCTTGGCAAGTTCAGACGACGAGGGCCTGTGGTAACTCTGCAGACGCCGTAATCGACGGCTTTTGATAACTTGCCTAATGTGGCTTGTACGTCAGACAACGCGCAACACCAACATCCAACCCCTCTGACAACCAGGTTCAGACGACAACGATGGTGGTAGTAGGAGAGTTGTGAAAGTTGCTGTGATCTACAGTCAATAGCGAACCTGCCTAATCGGGGCTGTAAATGTCCAGGTGGTGATGGATCGCAGGCGCGACATCTTGGTAGACAATATACACCTACTATCGACACCTTCACAAGCCTTCCCAATCCAGCTTTCCCTCATGTGCATACAGTCCCACCTGTCTCTGCTCCTAAGAAGAAGAAAAAAGTCTAACGACTTCGATCCAAGTCCTCCAGCACAACAAACTTCCCACCCGTACAAACTTCATCCAAATTACCCGATTAGGAAGGTTTGGCTCAACTGTAGATTACTGCGAGGTGTCTTCGTGCTCCTACGCGCCCTCGACGCCCTGCTCGACCTTGCCGTCGCCAACGCGAGGTTTGCCGTAACCGCCCTGGCTGCGCTGCTCGCCGGGATAGCTGTCGTCGCCGTGGTCGCGCAGGCCGCCAGCTTCGCGCAGTCCGCACAGTTTGCGAGGTCTGCCATGTTCGCGCGATTCGCTCAAGACGCGGCGTTCGCGAGATTCGCACACTTCGCGCCGTTCGCACTGGCAGGTCACAGCGCGCCCAGGTCGCCCAGCACGCCCAGGTCGCTCCCATCTCGCTCCCAGCGCGCCCAGTGCGCCCATGGGAGCTCACCGTCATCCACTCCTCTCTACAACTTACCCGATTGGGCAACACCCAAATCTCCACCGCGACCACCAACTCCCTTCTATCCACTATCTCAACCGCTCGGCGCTATAGCAATCCCATTCCTGTAAAGCTTGAGACTGTAGATGTCGCAAACAGTCAATAAATTCTGAGCAGCAGATGTACACAGAGTAGGAACGTAGACATGCGCGTGTGCGTTGGAAGGTAAGTAGGAGAGGGCGTACGGGGTAGTTGGAGTGTAGGAGAGTGAAACCGCTATCCACGGTTTTTTGACAAGTTACTTGATTAGGAAGGAGTTTGATGTGAGATGGGATGGAAAAAAATGTCGAGATGTGTAGATGTGATAAAGGTGTAGAGTATCATGGACATGTTCGAGGGGACAAGTGTGCGACGATGTGTGTATCTGAACACCACTATATATAGCACCTCAATCTCTGGTTTGAGTGAAGTATCGCAATGCTAACACAAACGCCATCATTCCTATGCGCCAACGATGCAGAACCAATTCGCTCTTCTTGAATACCAAAGAATATCGTGCGCCCGTTAGGTTCCGGACATCACTCCCCACTCCCACCTGCCCCATCAAAGTTACTGTGACTCCTCCTTAGCGGACTTCTCTTCTTCTTCCCCTGTCCTCCGCTCGCACCTCCATTGCCCAGTCCACCCCCATGCCCATTCCCACCACCGCCACCCTTCTTCTTCCTCTTCTTCCCCGGACTCCCTATACTCCCCGGCGAGCCCGGCGACCGTGGCGAGTCAAGCGAACCTCTTGACACCAACTCTTCCGCTTTTCCTGGTCCTTGGGTATTTCCCTGCTGCCCGGCTTCCTCCGCCTTCAGTAAGTCCATCGCACGATCAACCTCTTCCCAACTCGGTCTACTATCCCTGGTTCCATTCGGCGTCGCAGGTCCCGATTGCGTTTCTAGGACTTGAATCCGGGCGGCTTGGTCTTCCGCTGTTGATACT